AGCTACATTATTATTACCTGCTCCTGATATGATTTTATGAAAGTTGAGGAAACAATATCAGACGGTTATACATCCCAAAACTGCCCTTATTTTATCATGGTCCCTCAATATCTTTTAACTACATTGCATTTGTTTATGATAAAGCAACTATCTAGAAGTATTATATAGAACAAAATGAAAAAAGTATAACCTTGTACATGCAGCTAAAGACCAGAGATGAGAAGGTTCGTTTTTTTAAAATTTAAGAATGAATTCAATATCTCAAAAACGGTGACACTTTTATATAAGTAAGTTTTTGTTATTTGGGAGGTCAGTCCACAGCCTACCTTCTCCTTAAGTTTTTCGTGGTACTTATTGGATACCCTGTATATCTAGCACACTCCGGTGGACAATTGATATACCAAACATAGGCGATGTATACAATTTCTGTACACATGACCAAGTGACCTTATTCATTGTCAGGTATCAATCACTTTCCTTACTTTATGAATTTAAAACAAATAATTGCTTCTAGTGAATGGTGATATACAGGGTGTAAACGTTATGGTAGTCATTATTGAAATGGGTAAGAAGGGTCAAAGCTAGTCAAAAAGTTCATATGACCCATGGTCTAAAAGTCAATAGATTTTTGTCTAAATGGCTTTATAGTTTACAACTTTAAGTGCTTTATATCGACCACAATCACCACAATCTTACTAATTTTTATAATCTAATCTAAAACGTTTTTAAGTTGAGTAATTAACAAATAAGTGGCATTAAGTTTTTCTAAGTTAAGCTAAAATTTGTAGTCAGTAAGTAAGTAAATTTCATTAAATGGAATATTTAAAACACACATGACAACAGCGCGTCGGTTTTTCATCACTCTTATCGAACCGGCAATCGATCGCAAACGGTAACTGTGGTTAGTATGTTGTTTTGTTTTTGTTCGCGTACATCGTCGTGTTTATTTTTACAATGTTCTCGAATCAAGATTTCACCGACATGTTGTTAGTTTGCGGTGAAGCTCGTCAGAATTCAAGTCTTGCAGCTCAAATTTATCGCGACAGATTTCGCCAACGGGTACACCCAGACAGAAGGACATTTGTGCAAGTGTACCAAAGACTTCGAGACACAGGAAGTGTTTAGCCCACTAATATTCGCACTCGTGAAAGACAAGTTACTCTAGAGCAGGAGGAACAAATTTTAAATATCGTGGAAATCAATGCAGATATAGGACTCGGGAATAAGGCAGCCGCGTAGGACTATCGCAAACCATAGTCCAAAGAATCCTACGGGAAAATTTGCGTTATCTTACCATGTATAACGAGTGCAGGCCTTGTTACCAAAAGACTATCCTCGCAGACAAACATTATGTCAGTAGTTTTTGCACAAAAACATTGAAAATCCGGATTTTTCTAAAAACATTCTAGCGAGGGACGAATGTACTTTTACGCGAGACGGGATATTAAATTTACATAATACTCCCATGTGGGCCCAACAAAATTCTCATACCATTCGTCAAGGTCATTTCCAACAACGTTTTGAAATACATGTTTGGGAGGGTATTCTTCACGATCAGGTAACTGGCCCTTCCGAGTTACCCCCAAAGTTCTCAGGAGTAGGATACCTTAGCTTTCTAGCCAATAACCTACCAGAACCTTTGCAACAGACCTTAGACAATATACCATTACAACGAAGACAAAATTTGTGGTTTCTTCATGACGGGGCACCACCACACATTTACACATTATCCAAGTCGCTGGATCCTGATCCTCGAAAATGGCCAGCAAGATCTTCTGATCTCAATCCGATGGATTGACCTCGGTTTGACCCCCATGTTATATGAAACTTTTTGCGTCTTTTAACCCCCTCTATCAACCATTGAAATAATGACTATCATATATAATAAGTTGTTACGGTTATAACGTTCGAAAGTTTTTACTTTGATTCGAAAACATTAACTATCAATATCAAGTATCTCAAGTTTTTTGATGTCTAAGTTTTGTTAGAGCACAGTTATGCATCATTCAGTAAAACGCAATTTGTTCTTTTACATCCCAAATATTCAGTTATGCTTTTAAATCGAAATAAAATAATTCATAGTAACTGGGCAAATATATTTACCTAATCTGATTAAAGAAATTTAATAAATATATCTAAATTGTTTTACTTGAGCAGGTAACCTCATTTTAATATTTCTCTAATTTTAAATGAAGTGGTGTACTCAATCTGAGTAAACGGTTTACTAAATTTAACTGAACAAATGCGTTTTGGCTTAATTAAACTAGTTTCATAGATTCCAGTAAACTCTTTTAGAAACCAGAGTTTAACTGAATTAATTAAAATTGTCAGCTGTCAGATAGTTTTTTTTAATTGGCCTAATTAAAATTCTAACTAGCTGAATGAAATTTTATTCTCAATTTATAAGGATATTATTTTTGTCTATAGACACCTGCAGAACCTATTGAAGATGCAGAAAATACAGTATCTGGGCTGTGTTCCTCTAAGATCGGAAGAAGCTTACATCAGCAATCTGAGGATCATAAATAGAGAAAAACACGAAGCTTTCCTCGCTCTCCATAGAGCTAGAAGTTTGGAAAATGAAGCACAGGTGTTCAAAGAAAAACTGAACTTAGATTTGGATTATTTAAAAAAGAGAGAGAATTACTTTCAGGAATACATAAAAAGGAGTATCAAGAGGCCATCACGTGGATGCAGGAAAAGAAAAATTTACAAATTAGCGTAAGAGCTCGTCTTTCACCGGGAGGCGATGGCTACGTGCTGGCGACTCTGAGATTACAACGTTGCCAATAAACTACGTCATTAAAATACTTGTTAGTGAGTCATATTAGTGACATTTGTGAAGTGTCATCGATGTCATCGCGGCTATGATCGCAACATTTGAAAACATGTAAAAATCATGTGTGTTTGTCGCATTTGAAAAAATTGTCTCGGTCTTTATCAGAGATGAAGGAATGCACCCGAAGTTTCTTCGTTTTGGTTTCCTTCATTATGTTCTACTCTATGAGATGATAAATTGTCATGACCTTTTCTAATTTCATTCTGAAACGACGAAAATGAGGTCATCACTCTGTCACTGTTAGCTCTCTGTGGCTACTCCATCGAATCCAGAAGTGGCCATGGCTGCAAAACTGACTCCGTCGCCATGGCATCCCGGTGAGGGAGAGTTTTAGGTAAAGCAATATCATTCCAACATTATTATTATGAATTTAGAATGAAGTTCCAGCAAGGGCATATTTTCGAAAAACTGATATAAATTGACAGCAGCGTACTTCAGCATCTCTTTTTTTTTTGTTCGATCATCCTCTTCAAGAGGTATTTTCTTATTTTCTAGGAACTTCGCTATAAACGCCAATCCGAATTTAAAGAGTCTCAAATACAGCATTTCTTAGAAAGGATAAAGATTCAAGATGAACAAATTGCAAAACTGGATGAAGATGTGCTACTTTTGCACAAATCCGTTGATACTAATACAGTGTCTAAAGAAGCTCTGACAGAGCCAGAAACGAAATCTGCTTATCAGACATACTCAAAAATAAACAGTAGATCTGTTGAGACACAAACAGATCTAGAAGTGATTCCGGTTAAGGATAACAAACAAGAGCTGGTTAACATTAAGTGTGATTTGCTGAGAGCGCAGGAGGTTTTGAAAGAGAAAGAACACGTTATTGATCAGCTGAAGAGTAAGATGAAGTGAGTCCATGATTGGTATTATTAATTATTGAATGTGTGACATTAAGCACTTACTCCAGATGCTTCATATATGGTTAGTTGCTTTGATTTTAACTTATCGCTAATGCTACTGCAATCAGAAGGTTTGCTGGCTTTGACCATTAATGGATTCTTTGTGCAGCTATCGATCTTTGACTATTCATAAGATTATTTGTTATCCTTAACCCTAGAGAGATAATCATTTAATAACTGGATAAATAACACTGGTGAACAAAATTAAAATAATTTTTTGTGACATGGACAAACCAAGGTATTATGTAAAAAGTACCCAAAATGCCGGAAATAGCATTCGTTTTTTTATATCACCCACGATTTTATTGCAATAAGGCATTTTGTTTGCTGCTTATACTATAAATAATTAATCTCAGAGTGCTGTCGATGTTTTACGGAGATATGTTGCTCCTGAAGTATCTCTTAACAATGTCCAGCAATAACGAGCAAGCAATTTGACGCTCCATTTGCCTTGATACCGTTTTTCCATAGCAGAAACGTTTTGGTCGAACCGTTCAGCATGTTCATCACTTACCGCATCTAAATTTTCCGGAAAAAATCGAGATGACAATCCAAAAATGAGTTTCTAGAGACATGTTACATCCCGTTGCTTCACAAATTTGCAGTAACCGATTTAAATGCATTCCAAGCTCGTAATTCAGTTTCATTTAGAGCAAATGTCAAATACTCAAATACTGAAATACCCTTCATGATTTTTCATATTTGTGGACCCACAAATATGCCCTCTTTAATTTTTTCCTCACTAAGTCTCGGTAATGTTTGATTCAAATGAATGAAACCTCTTCCATTTCGATCCATAGCTTTAACAAAACTTGTCATCAGTCCCAACTTAATATGCAAAGGCGGAAGCAATACTTTTTTGGGATCAAGTAGTGGCTCATGAACAATGTTTTTGAGTCCCGAAGTTAATACCTGACGTAGTGGCCACTCCTGCTGTTCATAATGATGATATCGCGCACGACTGTCCCATTCATAAAGAAAACAACAATATTTGGTATATCCCAGTTGCATTCCAAGAAGAAGATCTAATACCTTTAAATCTGCACATATGGCCCACCCATACTCATTAGTATATGCTCTAACAGAACTCCAATATTTTCATATGATTCCTTCATATGATCTGCGTGCGCTATAGGTACAGATGGATGTTTATTACCGTTGTGTACCAATATCGCTTTTAAACTAAGCTTCAAACATATTGTTGGCATCGGAGAATATATCAACTCGGTAAAAAGTAATTTTAACATCACCGTGGTGAAAATTCCATCTTTTTAATTTTGACACTAAAAGTTCTGACTGGGATTTTGACAGATTTAATTCTCGAACTAAGTCATTAAGCTCGCCCTGTGTGATCAAATGCGGCGCTGTTGAACATTCTGGCACGTCAAACGAAGGATCGGAATTTTTTTCGCTTTCTGTACCATCACTTTCAGAATCGGTGGATTCGACGTTTTCATCCAAAGACCAAGGTTCTGGTGGAACTGGGACAGAAAGTCCATCACTATGCTTAACGGGCCGCAAAGCTGATGGTAAATTAAAACACTTAACAGTATGTTTCGATTTTGGTCCGATACCTTTAATATTTGTGAGGCAAAAATATCAACCAGTAGTATGGTCTCTCAGTTCTCTCCAAACCATGGTACCGGAAAGGACATTTTACGATTGTCGCCTCTTAGCCAACCTGTTAACAACGTTACACAAGTCTTACAACATATATGAGGGGCCCATAGTTTATCTTGGTCGCCAAATTTGATTCCAAAATAAAGTTCGTATGCATTCAACACAAGGGGAGTAAAAGTACGTTTTTGGGATTTTTTTTACCGTTTTAACAAAAATTGACAGTACTCAGAACATCTCAGTACCCTTCAATTCAGAAAACGCAATATGGTCTCTAAACATCGAGCTCGCATATACCTGTAATAAACAGGAATAGACAGGTCTTAATATTGTATATGTGTGTCATCGCATAAATGCCAAGAAATGCAGGAATATGAGATGTTAGGTATTGTAATTCATGAAAGTAGATGTTACCGAATATCTGTTTGTGATAGAAAGATTCTGTTTTTAGATTTGTTTTGAGGGTCTCAAAATACATAAGGTACACCCAAAAACTCTCATGTCACAAATCCTGTGTTTATCAGTGTAATCATACGTCCAGCAGACATATTTATTTGAAATAATCAAGCTTTGTAATTCAGATCATTTACGTACATTACAATTTAAAATAACTGTTTAAATACTACTTCAAGAAATTAGACGACAATTTAGCATTAGAAGTTAAACTTTTATTTCCAAATGACAAACTAAAATTGTAAGCTTCATTGTAAATTAACACAAGACAGTTTATTTTATAAACTAAACATTTGAAATGACTTCTAGTCTTCATATCTGAATATTTGGCACATTTTAACTTCATTTAACTTACCATTAATACTTTTAATTTTCGATGTAAAGTGCTCAAGTCATTTTTATGTTCTCCACAAACAGGCCTTTTCCACTTCATGCATGGTAACTTAGAGATTCTGCTGATTTTGGATGAACGATATGAGTAGTAGTAGTGGTAGTGGAGAGGCAAAGCTCAAGCCACACTTGACTTGTTTGTCGTCCCATTGTACTAACACTGTACTATCCGACATACTGGTTATTGAATAATCCAGCTCCAGCGATGCAAGCTACCTATTTTGTCTTGCACCAATTCGGTGCGTACATATACTCAGTGACATTAGAAGTGTTATCCAAAAAAATAATTCCTTCAACTGGATTTTTGGCAACATAATGATTACATTTAAAGCATGCTATGGCAACAATGTCAACGTTTTACCTTTGATTTTGTTTACCGTTGTCAAAATCTATCTCTTTTTTGTGCTGAAGGCAGTTCCTGAGAGTTGAGTAGTAGAGATTTTTAGTTATTGCCCTTTCATTTACTAGTGTTAAGCATAACAAAGTGGCTCGAGAAGATGTCCAAATTTGGCAGGAGTAGAATTATTGCCTATCGAGATGTTAGTTTGTCCCATCGCGAAATTGGCCGCCGTGTTAGTTGTACTGCAATGACGGTAATGCATGTGTGTCGTGTGTGGATAAAAGAAGGTAGAGGAACTCGCAGAAGGCCAACTGATAGGCGCTTCAGACAACTAGCCCTACGAGACCGTTTTGCTACTACGCGTGAGGTCGCTGACCAATGGCTTGCAGAAGAAGGTCGACCTGTTACTATTCGTACATTCGAGCCTTTGGACTTTTTTCATACCGTCCACGTTTGAAGTGGAGCCGACAACGGCAACATTGGAAGGCAGGATGGCATAATGTCATCTTCACCGAGAATCGCGATTCTGTCTTGGAACGCACGACGGCCGTAGAAGTGTAAGACGCCGCCGGGAGAACGGCGTGATATTGGATATGCTGTTGAGAAGCATGAACACAGGACAGTTGGAATAATGGTTTGGGGGCTATTGCCTTTGTAGCCGATCACCTGTTCTCTTTGCTCAAGGCAATGTCCAACAAACTACTTTACTGCCGTACCTAGTGGGCCGTCCACACGTCCCTTTTCAGCAAGACGACGCACGTCCCCATATTGTCTGTCTTACTAAGGACTTTCTTCAGCAAGCAGGCGTTAATATTTTGCCGTGGCCACTCCGCTCACCGGATTTAAATCCCATCGAACATGTGTGGGATATGATGGGGAGGCGACCATTCACTTTGCACCATCCGCCACAAACTCTGCCACAGCTAATCCTCGAAGTTCGAGTTTGCTTGGAATGAGATGCCACATCCAGACTTCTCATTTTGTTGATATCTAGACGTATACAGGAGCAGCAACTCCGAGGTCGCCCAACACATTAATTTATTTCCTTATTGCTTGTCAATAAAATTTTGTGAGAATGTTATCGTTTCATTCTGGATGTAAGGCTACCCCTCATTGCCAAAAAATCAAGTTTGTAGCAATTATTTTATTCTGGGGTAACACTCCTAGTGTCACTGAGTATACAGGGTGTTCCTTATTGATATGCGAATATTTAAGGGTGTGAATCTACATGAAAAATTAATGTTAGTTCGCTTTATAAACTATGGTCCAAAAATGTTTCCTTACAAAGCTCGGGATGTTGACGTTTTAGGAAAAGAATGGAAATTTATTAATATTTCAGAACCGCTTCAGATATTTCACTGATATTTAGTGCGTAATGAAAGTTAATAAAGTTGCACATTTTTTAACAAAAAAATGATACGCCAATAGTTTTTGGCCAAATAAAAATTATTTTTGAATTCCCCGTTCAATATAAAACAAATGATTTCTTTTGGATTGTTTTCCTTAGATGCGCCATTTTTGAGTAAAAAAATAAAAACGGTTCTATCGTCTAACTTGCAAAATTCTTATTAATTTAATTGGAAAAATTAAAAACATTAGGGGAAATGAACAACAACAACTGACAACATAAACATAACATTAAAACCAACGAAATAATTACAAAAATTGTTTAAAATGGCCCCCTTCACTTAGTATGCATGCTTCCCCTCTCCTTCTTATGTAATTGCACACTCGTTGAATATCCTTAGAGTGTTTTTTATTCTATCACAAGCTGCAACTATTCTTTCTCTTAATTCTTCTACAGTATTAATGGGACTTGTGTACACTAGTGTCTTAAGATAGCCCCACAAAAATAAATCTAAACTGTTGGAGTCTGGGGACCTTGGTGGCGATTCTTGGGGCCCACCGCGGACAAACCAACGATTTGGATAAAGAGTTTGTAAATAATCACGAACCGCTACACTGAAATGCTCTGGTGCACCATCATGCATGTACCACATATTGTTTCTTATTACTAACGGAACATCATCAAGCAGCAAAGGCAACTGTTGTTGAAGAAAATTCAGGTGAGTCTGTCCGTCAAGTCGTCCCGGCAAGAAGAATGGGCCAATAAAGTGGTTGCCAATAATTCCTGCCCATACGTTAACCGAAATTGGTGTTGGAAAATGGGTTTCGGTTACGACATAGGGATTTTATTCCGCCCACAAATGATTATTGTGGAAATTCTGAATGGCATTTCGAGAAAAATTAGCTTCGCCCGTGAACAGAATCATCGATTCAAATTACGGATTCTGTGTAATGTTTTGAAGATACCACTGACAAAAGGTCACACGCCTTGGAAAATCAATGGGAAGTAATGCCTGTACTCTTACAATATGTTAAGGATATAACAAAAAATCCACTAAAATTCTCCAAACAATTTGGTGGCAAATATTTAAGTGTCTAGCGATCTTCCTCGTACTCGTTTCAGGATGTTCTTCGACAGCACTGCTTCCTCAATTTTAGGTGTTCTCACACATAGAAGTCTACTTTCAGATGTTCCTTTTCGGACAGAACCAGTTTCAATGACGATGAATATTAGAAAAGGTTCGACTATCTGGCAAAGCTCGATCGGGATATCTCTGGTGATAACCGTCGGCAAGGCCATACACGTAATGCATTTCCGCCATTTCTGCATTTGAATATTTCACCATTATTAACAAGACTGTAAAAACTAAATAATGAAAAAGATGTCACATCGAACAGATTTGAATAGCAGAGACTTGTCAGATGTCAAAGGCCAGTGACATATTCCAGAGCAACTAGATATTTATTGCTAAATTCATTCTTCAATCATTACATAAATTTTCTCGGACAATAGAACGGTTTTTATTTTTTTAGTCAAAAATGGCACATCAAAGTGAAACAATTCAAGTGGTTATTTGTTTTAAATTGAACGAGGAATTCAAAAAATGTTATTTGGCAAAAAGATCAGTAAAAATATTAATTAATTTCCATTTTCCTGAAACTTCAGCACACCGAGTTTTTGTAAGGAAACATTTTTGGACCATAGTTTATAAAGCAAACTAACATTAATTTTTCATGTAGATTGACACCCTTAAACATTCGCATATCATTAAGGAACACCCTGTATATAGTTTAACACAAAATCCCTGGCTCAAAATGTATCTTCTGAGATCGGAATTGGAATCTGCAAGTCTTCAAGCCGTTTCGTGAGTAGGTCAACTCTTGAACACATCTGACTGTCCAACCCATATGAACAATACGAATAATATTTTTTTGTAGGTGGCACTTAGCGTTATGATTTCACCATCATTTGGAACAGACTTTGATGGATCTTCAGCTTCTTTGACCAATTTAACTTCAGTACCACCCTGCACGTCATCTCCTGAGACGTTGTCTTCAACTTCAATTCCACATTCTGATAACGAAATTCCTTCACTTTCATTAAGAAATTCTTCAATTTGGGTATGATTTAGAACCCTTCGGTTCGCTATCAAGATAAATAATAATGAATAACAAATAAGCAATCTCTCCAAACAACTTATGTTTAATGAAAGATAATCATACGTCTCGCGGAGTTATGGCATAGCAATATACATAATGATAATCAAGAGTTTTTACCGCGAGCTCCAGTCGCCTGCTGAGTTAGCTCAAGCAGCTAGTAGGCTGCGATTGATAGCAAAGGGTAAAAACCAAATATCGTTGGGCCGCACGAACCGCGGACGTAGATTATATTTCTAGGATTAATAAATTTCTATTATTACGATAACCAGTGAGAATGAGATGGCGATTAATCTATTCAGGAAGCAAATCGGAGACAAGCAAAGTCAAATTAGTTTTTGAGAGACACATCGTGGAATTGCAAAACAAGAAGGATGAAATAATGAATTCTAGTGGTGGTGCCGGAGGTGACAATATTTCTGTTGGCACCGAAACTCAATTACAGAATGAACTTATAGCGCTGAAGGTATGTCAAGATATGTGGTTTTTCGTTTTTGAAATTGTTTTATATTGATCGTTGTAAGGTCCTGATGAAAGGTCCTTTCATATAAACCTCAAATGTTTTTTAATTACAATACTCAACGAATCAGCTCTGATCGTATTTAACTAGTTGCAGTAATGTACGCTTTGATATTCATTAACATGCTACATGCTTCAGGGTTTATAAAGGATCTTCAAGACAGACTAAGTTCAAAAGATGAAGAAATTATAAAGTATCAAACGCTATTGAAAGTCGACAGAGACAAGCATAGTTTAGCAGCTGCAAGTTTGCAAGAAGAGCTACAAAAGCTGAAAGCCTGCCTTCTGGAGGAAAAGCATAAGAATGAAAGGTACCCTTGAGGGTTATGTTAGATAATATATTCGTGTGCCTATTTTGATCTTATAAATTTTTAGTCAGAAAGAGACATTTGCAAAACAGCAACCCAATAGAGCTGCTTTGGAACAGTATATTTCACAGGTGCATGCACTGGAAAAGCACACCTCAGAGTTGCATACCAAGATATCAAGCTTGGAAGCCCAACTTCAATCCAGCAGAGAAGAGAACGTGAGGTGGATGTCTTTGGCCAATGACAGACTCAAAGCCATGGAGGAACTGCGAAACAGGTGATTATGCTACTTTTCATGACTCCGAAAATTATATATAAGAAGATGAATTGCTACTGTCATTAACTTCTGAGAGTTAACCAAATAGCTTGTGGGGAATGAAACAGGTGATGATGCTACTTTTCGTGAGACCGAAATTTATATAGGGTGATTCACAAGTCATGACCAGAATGGAAGCATCATACACAGGACCGCATCTTAAGGGGGTCTATGTAACACTTTTTCCACCGAAGGCTTCATTAAAAGAAGTTTAAGTTGAAGTTTAAACATTTTTGGATATCTTCAAAACCATCAACTGGAATGCACTAAAATTTGGTATGTGGATTAACCCAAGTATTGTCCACATTCAAAAGTCTTTACTTAAAATTAACGCAGGGGATTAGTGGCATTATTTTTCCAAATAGAAATAGTACGCCACTGATTTTTTTCCAAAACGCGCGATTTTTCGAATTTTCCCTTCAATTCTTGTGTTTTTTCCTAGAGTGCACTGTCTTCGTAAAAATAAAAACAACACAAATCATATCATTCATGAAGAGCCGAGATACAATTAGTTTTAAAATAGAATAGGAGGCCTTGATAACGTTTCTTTGGAGATAGGTTGTCAAAGTTATGTGTTATTCGGTTGTTATCGTTACTATTACCTTTTTTTTGCAAAAGTCAAGTCAAAAGTTTCGTTTTTCAATTTTTGAATGTTAACAGACGCCAAAGGTTCTTACGCGCTCATTTCCAAGACTTCGGCAATATGCTGAACAACTTAATACTGTTGATCAGTTACAAGAAAGAATAGATAAAGTGTTTCATCAAATTCAAACCACAACAGATTTTTCGGAAATAGTTTATTCTTTATTAAAAAGATGCACTTGTATCCATCAGAATGGTTGTCTTTTTGAATATTTTTGAAATAAAGCTCTGATTATCTAATTTGTTTTATTTTTATTTTTACAAAAACAATGCACTCTAGGACAAAACTTAATTGAGGGTAAAATTCAAAAACTTGCGCGTTTCGAAAAAAAGAACAGTAGCGTACTATTTTTATTCGGAAAAATAATGCCACTAATCCCTTGTATCTCCGCCACTAGTGCGCGTTAATTTTTGAATGTGGACAATGCTTAGGTAAATCCACATACCAAATTTAGTTCATTCCAGTTGACGGTTTTCAAGATATTAAGAAAAATTGTTTTTTATTTTTAAACTTCAACCCCGTATCTTTTTAATGAAGCCCTCAAATATGTTACATAGAAGACCCCCCTTAAGATGCGAGCCTGTGTATAATAATAAAATAATAATAATAATAATAATAATATAATAAAATAATAATAATAATATAATAATAATAATAATTAATAATAAAATATAATAATAATAATAATAATATAATAATAATAATAATAATAATAATAATAATAATAATAATAATAATAATATAATAATAATAATAAAACCCCGCAGGGGGTATCTACTTTTAAGGTCGGGTCTACGACCCGGGCTTAAGGGAAGGTACATGGGGAGCGTCGCCCCCACGGCCCTAGACGGGGAGTTCGGGATTTGGTAGTCTTCTTATTCTGCCAAACCCTGAGCTGCACCATTGTTCGGAGGCAATGTGAAAAATAATTAACTGTAAATGAATACGAGAAGTAAGACGAAACTACGAGGCGGGAAGGTGATTGAGGCTGGTCCCTTCTTCGGAAACCGTCGTGATGCTCAGCCTGAAGGGAGTGAAGGTGTGATGGGTGGCGCATCCCCGGATTAACAGCACCCTAGGCTATAGACAAAGGAACGAGAATGGACAAAACCAAGACTACGCAGCTGTGGTAACACAGGCAAATGCAACATACGCCACTAGATCAGTAACACAAAGGACCCTTCAAACCGGACTCAACACCATAACGATCACAGAAAACCATCCGGAAAGAGCTGCTGGTTACCCTGATGAACATGGTCAGAGCCCAGCATCACTTGAACAACGCTCTAAGGAGAATCGAATAAATCAACTTACTAAAAGGCCTTGGAGTTATGAAGAAATTAACGAACTGATGTGGTGTTACCACTATACCAATGCAAAGCAATCAATAGGCGAAGCAGAGGTTTATAACATGTGGAGAAGTAGGAATCCTAATAGCAGACCGTACATGGATTCCAAGAAGCTCGCAACGCAGCGCAGATATCTACTGAACAGCGGAAAATTTAATGAAAATATGATAAGAGCGATGAAAAGTAAAGTAAGCGAAGCAATACGGATCGAAGTGAGAGAGCAACGTGAGTTGGACTCAGTGACAACTGAGCCGGATACAGAAGATATGAGTGAAGATCAAACAGATAATATCAAACAGGAGATTCTCGAAGAATACGTTTCTACGAAATCTTCACCCATAAACGAGAGACTGAAACTACCAAAACTCCAAGATAACATGAAACTAAAGATGATAGTAAAACAAGCAAACGAAGCAGTTTCACAAATCTTGGAAGAAACACTGATTGAAAATATTACGGAGGTTAACCACCTATTGTATGCGACAGCAAAAATAGTAACAATGAAAGTAAGCCCACATCAAAAATTAACTGAAGAACCAATCAGACACCTACAAAATAGATACACCGAGACTTCTGCCCCCTGGGAGAAGCGAATAGAGGCCAAGATCTCAAAACTCAGATCCGATCTCTCAATCCTCCATGAAGAAGATAACTCAAAATTGAGAAATGCAACAAGAAGAAAGTTAGAACAATTGAAATGTCGATACACCATAAACAATTTAGAAGACCGGGTAAGAGTAGAAGAACAACTAAAACAAAAGATACAGGCTTACGCCCAACGTAGAAAGCGATATAATAAAAGAGTCGCATTCCGCAGACAGAATTATTTATTCCAATATGACACCAGAAGGTTATACCAAGAACTTAATGGAAAAGCTGAGACACCGCAAGACGTGCCGGGAGAGACAGATGTAGTACACTATTGGTCGGAAATCTGGCGCAGGAAGGAAATTATCGACGAGAACACGGAATGGATGAAGGAAACTATTGACAGTTATCAGCACCTAGAACGCATGACGACCGGTGAAAGCATCACGGAGAAGGAAATAAAGGATGTACTCAGTAAAGCTGCCAACTGGAAAGCCGGTGGGCTTGACAGAATCCATAATTACTGGTTAAAGAAGATAAGTGCCACCCATAAAACAATAGCGGTAATCTTAACAAAAATACTAAAAGGAGAAGAAGATCTGCCCACGTGGATGAATAGTGGCATCACGTATCTTATTTACAAGAAAGGAGACCCTTCTAAGCCAGAAAATTACAGACCCATTACTTGTTTATCCGTACTGTACAAATTACTAACTGGGATAATGTCGTCTCGTATATATGACCACCTAATAGCTCAACAGTTGATTCCAGCTGAGCAACGAGGATGCTGCAAAGGTTCATACGGATGTAAAGATCTACTATTATATAACAAAAAGATAATGAAGGACGTACACAGTAAAAAGAAAAATCTATCATTATGCTGGATAGATTATCAAAAAGCTTACGATAGCGTACCACACCAGTGGATATTGAAAATACTTAAAATATTCAAAATTGACCCAAACATCATCAATCTGTGTGAAAAAAGTATGAAGGAATGGAACACCCAGCTAAAGATACAATCTAAGGATGCACCTATCAATAATACCCCGCAGATTAAAATCGAATCTGGAATATTCCAAGGAGATTCACTATCACCTCTCCTGTTCTGCATGATGATGTACCCCCTGTCCAGAATGCTAAATCAAAAGCCAAAATTGGGATATAAACTACTCAAAGATGAGCAGCCAACAACACATCTTCTGTACATGGATGATTTAAAGCTATACGCGAGTTCGGACACAGCGCTTGAAGAGCAAATTAAGATAGTTCACGACTTCAGTAGCACAATTCATATGAACTTCGGATTAGATAAGTGCGCCAAAGCGACAATAAAGAACGGAAAAGTGGAAAAAACGGAAAACATAACAGTCCAGGCAAATATTACCATCAAAAACCTAGATGCTGGAGAAAGCTATAAATATCTTGGAGTTTATGAAAACCCAGAATTGTGTAATGATGAAATGAAAGAGACCATCAGTAAAGAATATCTAAGGAGGCTTAGGATGGTACTACGTTCAGACTTAACAGCACGAAATAAACTGCTAGCCATCAACAGTATAGCTGTTCCAATAGTAGAATACAGTTTTGGAATCATAGATTGGAGTCAGAAGGAAATTGCAGACCTAGATCGTAAAACAAGGAAGATGCTTACTATTCATGGACAGCTGCATCCTAGAGCTGATGTAGACAGGCTATATGTGAGTCGTAAAGAAGGAGGTAGAGGACTCAGGCAATTAGAGATGACTTATGATAATACAGTTGTATCCATAGCCAATTATTTAAGAAGCCGTAGAAATGATAAGTTAGTTAGACAAATTTGGAGATGTGAAAGGCACCCTCGAGTTGGAAAGTCAGTAGTCAAGTCAGCGATAAAAATTGTAAAGACACATTTACCGGAAATAGAAAATCAAGCGGTCGAGGATGAAGAAGAATTACTGTCTACAGATATTAAGGCCATGACAAGGAATACCTTGAAGGATAAATGGATACGAAAGCAGCTTCATGGTCAATACGTGAAGAGAATTAAGAGGCCAGGGATTAATGAATGCCAAACGTTTGCGTGGCTCACGAGAGGGAAGGTAAAAGGTGAAACAGAGGCCCTGATAACGGCCGCCCAAGACCAGGCCTTACGTACAAGACATTATGAGAAACATATCCTCAAAATAACAGCAAATGATAGATGTCGAATGTGCAAACAATACTCAGAAACAATAGATCATCTTATATCCGGCTGTCCTCAACTGGCGAAGCACGAGTACTTGGTCCGACATAATAAAATATGCATATACTTGCATCATGCCATCTGTATAAGCTTTGGGATCGCAGTGGAAGAAAAATGGTATAATCACAATCCCACTCCAGTAGTTAGTAAAGATGAGAT